GGTTTTGAATGTCGCTCCGTCTGTTTCAGCATTAACAATTGATTCGATAGTATTATCTGTTTTCATCATAATAGAGGTTTTTGTATTTCCCAATGAATGAAAAACAAAACGATATTGTTTTTACTGACGTTTCGCTATTTAATGCAATAGCTTTCTCAAAGTATTATTAAACCGGAATTTACAAAATCCTCAGCATATATAACAAAGAGTTAAGGGGTGAGATAAATATAGACTTAGTTCAACTTAAAAGGACATATTGAAAGTCAAAATAACAATGAAGATCGTTCAAACCAAATATCAAAGGTAATAGTATATCTGTTATTATATCAAAATAAAGTTTACTAGCTTGATAATCGTTCGTTAGTCTTGGGTCATTTTTGGTTGTCATGTTGGAGAATAGGTAAAGGTAACTAAACTAAATGTAGGCTGTGAAATACTTGATCATCGTTCGTCAGTCTGGGTCGTTTTTTTGTCAAGTTGGCGAATTGGTAAAGATAACAAAATCAAGTGTAAATTGTTGGATTTTATCAGTGTGTAGAATTATGAAAGTAGTGTGTGTTTACATAGTGAACTTGCTCATCACATTTGCGTTGATTTTGCTACTTCATGGAGGAGGGTGTTGTAGCCAGATCAGATTCTGTTTTAGTCCATCATTCCCATTCAGGCAATTCGGATTCCACTTGATATGAAGTGGTGGTTTCTGAAGTTTTTCTGGATTATTTCAATATTGTCAAAATCAATTTTGTGGCCTGATTCTATAGTATGTAGACCGATGGCTGATGATTTTTGAAGTTTTTCTAGTTCAATTGGATTTCTTGATGGTAGAAGAGATGCTCTACGGTGTTCATTTCTTCTGATCTTGATTTCTCGAGATGTTTGTCCGATGTAGATCGCATCACATTCCGAGCATTTTATTTTATAGACACAATTAGATAGAGAATCTTTAGGGATTTGGTCTTTTATATGGACAAGGTTGTTTTGAAGTGTGTCCGATGTTCTCCAACTTGACAACCAAAAGTGACCCCAGACTAACGAACGATTATCAAGCTAGTAAACTTTATTTTGATATAATAACAGATATACTATTACCTTTGATATTTGGTTTGAACGATCTTCATTGTTATTTTGACTTTCAATATGTCCTTTTAAGTTGAACTAAGTCTATATTTATCTCACCCCTTAACTCTTTGTTATATATATGCTGAGTGGATTTTGTAAATTCCGGTTTAATAATACTTTGAGAAAGCTATTAGCATTAAATAGCGAAACGTCAGTAAAAGCAGCAGCAATATCGTTTTGTTTTTCATTCATTGGGAAATACAAAAACCTCCATTATATAATGAATATCATATACCCAATGCTGAAATTTTTTCAAACCATTAAAAATGAACTTGGTTTGGACATATATAAGGATAGTATTATCTGTTTTCACCAAATTAAGTGTAATTCCATAGCCTGTTACATGAAACAGGTGTTCAAGATATTATTATTGTATTTGTTAATTCCTTGTGTATTTCTTAGCTTACTACACGATTGCCAATATGCTTTTGTTTCTTCTTCCTACGATCACGCATGTCACTGTTCGATTCCCAACTCATCGCTTTCTTTCCGATTCCATTTGACGGTCTGGTACATAAAGTCAGTCAACTGTCTCCTCAATATGTGTGGCTTATCCTTCTCGATTTCCATCTGGTTCTATGCCAGAGTTCGGCGTTGCTTATGGTATCTGTGCGGTTATCTATCTTATCTTCGCCATATAGCGTAGGCAACTATTCATGAAAGTGAGACTGCTTTCCGTGATACCAAGTCTGTAAAACCTGTAGAAGCGCGCTGAATTGACATCAATCTTAAGATTCTGAATCTTGCTGTTTGTGTTGAGTGCAGGAGACTTCCACAGTGTTGTGACATTGTCATCTATGAAACCTGTAGTTCAAACGGTGCCGTTGAGACCAAGTAATCGAAGAGAGTGCCATTGGTTGCCTGATATCTTCATCACCTCTACCTCCTGTCTGTTCATTTGGAGTCTTGTCTTCTCTACTGCTTCTGTCAATTTGTTGATTTCTGTCTGTAGATCTTCAAGTGTTCGTGATATCAGACGTAAATTGTCTACAAAGTTCAGATTTTTAATATCTTCTTGTCAGTCTGACGTATGCGTGTCTCCTAGTTGTACCTCAGTGCTAAGTAACATAACTTATTACGCCACTTTTTACTCGATTTCAATGTCTATCACACATGGAGAGTTTTTTTTGTTATTTCAAAGTTACATCACCAACAGACTCCAGTTAGGGAACTGCTGAAAACCAGGGTAACCTTTAATAGCTGTTTCATTCTTGTTTAGGAATCTCTGTGGTTTTTACTTTGTGGAATAATGATAGTAGCGATAGTGATAATAATAATAATAATAATATTAATGACGACACCGACAATAAGGAATCTAAATCATCAGTAGTAATTCCATACAAGGAAGGAACCTCGGAAACCACCTTACGAGGGAGAATTCTTAACAAATTCAGGGAGGAATAAAAGTGGCTGACATTCAAACCACCACCCACAAACTCAATTAGAAACAAACTTTGTCGGTTAAAGGAACAATCCAGTGGCGCCTTTCAAACAAAACAACTTGGTTTATCTAATACCCTGTCTGCAATGATTATCAGGTCAAATACATAGGTCAAATTAGTAGAACAGGGGCAGTCAAACTAGCAGAGCACATAATCCTTGCGAACTCTAGATTAGTTGACCCAAATAAGATAAGAAATTCGGAGAATAGTTCAGCTATAGCACTCACTATATGCAATTACGCACAACCATACAATAAAATGGATGGGATAAGATGACAGTTTTAAAATGTAATGCAGCTGCAGTGTGGAGGGAGAGATTGATAACAGAAGCTTTGTTTATCGAATCAACTGAGAGGGAATACGTGTAATAGGAGTGATTCAACACCTGTCCAGTCGGATATCTGGAAAATTCTACAACCCCAACGATGGTAAATAGGAGAGAAGAAAGAGAACTATAAAATTCAAGTTTCGAAGTCGTGTGATGATAATCGATATGGTTATGAACCACAGTAAATTTTGTCCGAAACGTCATCCAGTAAATACTAATACTGTTCCCTTGTGTGATGTATCCATCTAATCAACAAACTAATACAGACTTACTACTGGCTTAGCTAGGTTTAGGAGTGTGTCGAACGAGGATTGTACCTCAGACCACATGGGGCATGGTTGGCTAGCACTCCACCATTGAACCACTGACAAGTTTCAATGTGAAGTCAGTCAGTGCTATTCACCATACGGATCAAAGACTTGGCGAGTCACAAAGAGCATCTCAAACAAACTACAGACCTTCATTAACAGCCAGCTGTCTTCGCTCAATACTACTCAAGATCAGATGGCTGGCCAGAAAAGATCAGCAACAGGGATCTCTGGCAATGAGCGAACTAACCCAGCGGGAACCAATTGTTCAACAAATAGGCAGGAAGATTTGGAGATGGATTGTCCATACGCTGTGAAAACCAACCATCAAGCGACATCACTAGACAAGCCATTGCTCGAATGGAACCCGGTTGGGAAGCGGCGAGTTGGTTGTCAGTGCTAGGGTGACTTGGAGGGGGTCATTTGAAGAGGAGTTGAAAGCATGTGGTCAGACTTGGAGCGAGGTGAAAACTTTAGCAGACAACCGAACGCAATCGAAACACGCAGCTGAAGCCCTATATTCCTCTGGGAATTAAAGGAAACAATAATAATAAATTAGAACTCTCTGTGGTTTTCACTATGTGATGTAACTTGCAATCAATCGGATTCCTACAAGAGAACATTAGAAAATAATGTTAGCTGTCTGTCTGTCTCTCTGGATTCAATATAGAACTTATCACCGAAGTGCAGCTGTTCCAGTTGCCACGTTACGAATAGCACACACACAAAAGTAGACAAGAAGATGACTGAATAGAATCAATAGAGTTTGACAAGTATAAGAGTGAAACAGAATGGGTGATGGTAGAGAGGAATATGAAAGATTACAGAGACTGAATACATGTGCGCCAGCCATTGACAACGATTTTGAGCCATGTCACCTATTGTCTCCAGCCATTGATTCCTAGAGTCAGTCCCGAGGGCCCCAACCCGGGAGTCTGCATCTCCCTCCCTCCCTGACCGACTCAGTTTAACTGTCAAGGATTTGATGGATTGATGAGGCCATGTTTTTGTTTAGCCACGATATACCCTTTTCCAACCAGCACCTATATCAGGTAGTAATGCCCGTCGGCGGGGGGAGGCGATGGTTAGGAATGCGCAAAACGTCACCAAGCCATCTCTTTGCCATCTATGTAACTTTATAGCCTCGTCGATTGATTTTCCCTGTTTGCCCAACACTCTACGCCTAACGTCAACATTATTTACCTTATCATACCACCACCTAACGTGAGAAAGAGATCGCAGACATCTATGATCGAAAGCAGTCAACCTTTTCATGTCTTCATCTCGTGAAAATGTCAGCTGAAAAACTTTTTTTGACAAGATCTCCTGTTCCTCTTCTCTCTCTCTCCCTTTCTCTCTTTCCCTGTGAAAATCAAATTAATCAACACAAAAAATTAACTGAGCGTTATTCATCATCTTACTTAATATAAGTGAAACATTTTTTTTCTGCCTTATTTTTCCAACATCCAAGTAAAAGAGAAAAATTATCTGATTCTCTGTTTGTTTGTTTTTTCATTTTATTTTTCGGAATTTGGCTTATTGCCAAGACCTAGAAATTGTTATTCGATCGGGACGTTTTTTTTAATCTACAGTGTTGCCAGTTTAGGGCAGGAACTGGGGAGGGGAAAAACTACATGAGATTAAAAAAAAAGAACTTCATTCACATAATAATAGTTGGAAAAAAGAAACAATTTTTTTAAGGATTTAATCCTACTACTGAATATTATCTCTCTGATCTCTTATTTCATTCGATATCATGTTAATTTCGTTGTTTTGTTGTTGTTGCTATTGCGCCCATTACAGCATTGCTATTCATCCGGATCGAATTACTGTGGCTACTGGTCAAACAGCTGGACATGATAAACAATATGGAAAGGTCAGTGACTAATCCTAATCCTTTTTTTTCAGCACTTACATAATCTTTTTAGCTTGCCTATTGTGTGTATAGCTTTAGAAAATGTATTTGACGAATATATTTCGATATCACTATCTATACAGTCTAGCGTTAAAATACTAATTTGGATTTCGGATTTTATTGTGAGCTGACATCAGGTAGAGAGAATCACTGGAAAACCTGTAGGGAGTACTAGACAACCGTTTTCGGCTGTCCTAGTGCTTGGGACTCTTCAGCAGTACGTACCCACTGACTAGGGTTCGAAACCAGGACCTTGTGGGTTTTTTTGATTATTGCCACACCGTATTTTTGGTACAAGTATGGAATTTTCAGCATTTGATATCGAGTAGCCCAAATTTTGCAGGCCGACTAATTGATGTCAAGTGTGCGTCGGTGGAGGGAATGAACCCCGGACCATGTGGGTGGTCAGCGAGAGTCATAACCGCCGTGCCACCGACGCACAGGTGAGCTCGTTTACCATTGAGCCACTGGGACTCGATCTAATAGCCAACGCATGAATTCTAACTTCACCGGGTTCAAACCCCGGTGGTTGCGTGCTGCTTGAGAGTCCCAAACTGGGACAACGGAAACAGCTGTCCAGTAGTCTCTGAAGGTTTTCCAGTGGTTCTCTAACTGTTGTCAGCTCATGATGAAATCATTCAACCAATCATACAAAAATCCCTAGAAAATGAATACTTGAAAGATAAATACTAATATTGTCCAGTCAGACTATTCATCCGACAAACTGGTCGAAGAAGCAGCAAAGACAGGACTCCAGGTAAACATAGACAAGATGGAGGTTATGAAAATAACCAACCAACAACAGCAACAACATCCAACGTCAATCACCATCAACGGGAGGGATTTGAAAGAGGTTACTTCATTCACTTATCTAGCTAGGGAGCATTGTCTCAACTACAGGAGGAGCGGACGAGGATGTCAAATCGAGAATCGGGAAGGCGAGAAACACATTCATCAGCCTGAAATCAATCTGGAAATCTTCGTCACTCAGTCAGCATCAACAACAAAATTCGGATTTTCAATACAAACGTAAAGTCAGTTTTTCTATACGGATCAGAAACTTGGCGGGTCACAAAGAATATTTCCAAAAGGCTGCAGACCTTTATTAACAACTGTCTTCGCTCAATACTGAAGATCAGATGGCCGGAAAGAATCACCAACAAGGAATTATGGGAACAAACAAAACAAGAACCAATCGCCCAACAAATGTGGAGCAGAAAGTGGAGATGGATCGGACACTCGCTGAGGAGACCGCTGGGTGACATCGCGCGCCAAGCCCTCAAGTGGAACCCGAATGGGAAGCTGGGTGTGGGACGTCCAAGGGTGACATGAAGGGAGGAGATCGTGTGAAGAGGAGTTGAAAGAATATGGATTAACATGGATGCAGGCAAAAAGTATAGCAGAAGACAGAAGAAAATGGAGACGTGCAGTTGAAACCCTATGTTCCACTAGGAACCCAAGGGAGCAATAATAATAATAATAATAGACTATTCATCCGAGGAGTTACATGGAACGCGTTCAGCTTAGATTAGGTCCACAGGGGTTGGGGGGGGGAAGAGGAAAAGCAACGAATTCTTTGAAGTGAAAATACGCGTACAAGACGACAAGGCTGTCCTACTATTATCGATGATTATCTTAATTGTAGTGGACTGGATTATGCGTCACAATGTGCCTGAGAAGGGAAAAAATAATGGAAATACGTTTGAATGATAAAAAGATTTTAGAAGATGTGAACTTCTTTTGGAAGACTTATGTCTAATGTTGAAGGAACAAACTGGCAGGGGGGCAGGCAGCGAATACATGGAAGACAGATGTGTGATGCAGATAACCAGCCAACTACAACAATTACTAATTACACTATGAATAGGAGAAATTTAAAATGAGGTTCACGTCCTACACTTATCTGATCAGGCAGCATCGTTTCAACTGTCTGTCTGTCTATTTTCGACATAGAACTTTGCACAAATGTGCGGAAGTTCAAATCGCCACACTCCGTGTAGCACGCGAAGCAAGAGAAGAAAGTACAAGAAAGGTATAATAGAGACAGTAAGCAGAGGTGTGAGACAAAGGAGGAGCAATAACGAAGAACAAAACAGTTTCATTGAAGATCATAAGTCACAAGGAGTGAATGCATCTGCGATAGCCATTGAGAACGATTTTGAGCCATGCCACCAATTGTTTCCAACCACTGATTTTTACCGTCCCGAGGACTCCAGCCAGCCAAGAAGTCTACACCTTTCTACGTGGCTTAGACCAACTGTTGTGGATTTCATTGACTGATGCCAAGTTTTTGTTTGACCGCCGCTAGCTTTTTTCCAGCCTGACCCTATATCCGCTAACATTGCTCGTCGAGGGAGGCGATGGCTTGGCATACGTAACACATGTCCTAACCATCTCAGTCTTTGTAACTTCACGACTTCGTCGATTGATTTCCCCTGTTTACCTAGAACTCTACGCCCAACCTCCATGTTGCTCACCTTATTATGCCACTTTACACGGGAAATAGAGCGCAGGCACTTATGATGAAAGACAGGTAGTCGGCCTTTTCATGTCTTCCACTCTCAGTGGCCAGGCCTCTCTCACAACCATAAAGGTGGACGGAGCGGACTGATGAGCAATACACCCGCCCTTTGGTGGATTGTGGAATATCTCGTCTACGCCAGAGTCGGCGTAAACTGGCAAATGCGAAACGAGCCCCCTGTATTCGTGCTGAGATTTCGTCAGAGATCAACCCTTTGGGGCTGATGGTAAACTACAGGTGACATCGCGAATGAGGATGTCAAAATCAGTTGTGATCGGAAAGGCAAAGTACACGCTTTCATCACTCTGAAACCAGTTAGGAAATCCGCAACACTAAGCAGTATAAAGCACAAGTTTTAGATTTTCAAAGCCAATCATCACATCGTTGTATTCCACGCTTTCATAGAAGACTTTTAATAATTTTTGTAAAACGATACTTTTACTTTCCTGGTTTTTCAAGTGGTCTTTACAATTTCAATGGAAAAAATGTTGATTTTTCTTGGTAGCGATGGATGGTGTCTTTTTTACGCGATGGGGTTAGTAGCCGGGTTTAGGGCTTACTAATAAAGTATTATAGGCTACTCCTGCTGAATATTATATGTGTGCGACAGAGTTACTCCCCACGTAAGCCACCTTTCAACTAGGAGAGGTGGTACCTACAAGACGTCAAAAGCATTAGAGTGTATGCCTTAGTAACCTAATGTAATTAATTGCTTTTTCCATATATTATATAATCGATTGAATGTGTTTGCTCGCAGAGATTTAACAGAACTATTGAAATCACACAAGTTCTACAAAACTGTTTCTAGCAGTTCTAGTTTGGAATTCTTTGACGGTAGTACTCATCTGTGATCCCAATGGGGATCAAACTTAAAACCTTCTTCTGGTCATGGGAAGTTAATCAGTTAGCCAGTGGGAGTTTATGTTATGTCTAACACATATGTAAGGAGTTTTAACGAAAGCTGAATAAATCGCAAAATTATATTATAATGAATAAACGATATCTTGGGCATTAGGCTTTATGGTTACATTGGTATTTGGTTGGTTGGAGGATTTCATCATGAGCTAACATCAGTTAGACAAACATTACAAAACCTGCAGGGAATACTGGGCAACTGTTTCGTCCTAGTTTGGGACTCTTCATCAGTACGCACAAACCACCAGGGTTGGAACCCAGGATCTTCTGGTTACAAGGCAAGCTAGCTCGTAGACCATTCAGCAACCACTAGGACCTGATCCAATGGCCAGCCCATGAATTCTTACTTCTGACTAATCATGACGTAGCGCTACAACTTCGCAATGTCTTCTTCGATGAGTTACTGCCTCACCTTCAACCTGCTGTGCTCTACTGGTCGCGGCTTCTCACTAGAAGCCCATGAAACTACTTACCTGAATAGGGAGAGTCACCAGAATATCCTGGGTTAGAACCTCAGTGGGTGTGTACTGCTGAAGGGTCGAAAGCACTAGGACGAAACAGTTGTCCAGTACACCCTGCAGGTTCTCCAGTGGTTCTTAACTGATGTCAGCTCATGATGAATCCTCCAACTAACCAAACAAAAATCCCCTACAACAAAACTCATACTTGAACATTGGTTTATTTGTTTAAACTATAATTTGGACAGAATTATCAATAGTATATTTTGGTTGCTTAGTAATGCGTTGTTTTTGATATTATTATCATTATTGTTATTATTTGTCCTTAATCAATTTATAAATGAAAACGCATATATGTAGCTCAATGACTATGTGATCTTATTCAATATCTCATAAAAAGAAACGAATGAAACAGGATATATGTATATATTCTGTTGAATTGTGTATTTATACAAAACATTTTCATAGTTCAGATCTGATTTCTTTTCGTTAAAATACATATTTATGTATGAAATATACTCATTTTTGTTGGGATGTCTTGCTTACCTTTCAAACTCTTGATTCAAGTTTACTAGTTAGTTAACACGACGATGCAAGGAAATGAGAGCTCCGTTTGTGTTTGTGTATTTGTAGTTAATTACTTGGAACAGGATGCTTCATGCACCTATGTCGGCAAACTGACCGATTGAAGTGCTTAAAGCTGTAGGGACATTAGTGTTGTATGACCGCAGAGCCTAGCGGGGCAACTGTTTGATGCCAGCCAAATACGGCTGTTTAAGTCGAATTTTTTGGAATTGTGATCTTACCGCTGACTATGAACCGCAGCAAGATAGGTTAGGATGTACCTCCTCTAACTCTTGTTTCCTCAAAACGGATGTGTAACACAGTAGAATTGCTAGTTGTTTGGGTGGTGGTGGTGGTGGTGGAAAAGGGAAGGACATAATACTGACGTTACGTCCTTATTCGGGAGCAATCGGCATTCCTCAACAGACCCTCCCCTCTCCCAACACTATCATGATAGCTGCTCTCTTAGTCTGGCATGGTTGGACCTAAAGGAATATTGGTCCCATCCCATTGTGGATCTTTGGATCATTGTGATATACTAAGACGGCAGCTATCTACCGGAGCATATACGTATACGTTCCTTTAGAATCGTTGTACTGCTTAACTCTTCTTAGAAAAGGTTGATCCGTTTGTTCACTCTTTGAACGAAATATTCCCGTATTTGAGACATAAGAAAAGACTGAAACAGCAAAGCTGCTGTACATCAAAGAAATCATAAACCAATCAGATACTGGCAAAATTTGCCGTCGAAAAATGTATTAAGCTAATGTAAGGTGTAGTCTAGAATGGGTGACTAATTTTAAGTTAGAAAAGAGACAGAAGTAGGCATGACGTACGTGATAAGTGTGAGATAATGACCAAAATCAATAAGCTCTTGTAAAATGGACATAAACTAGTGGAAAGGTGATAGAGTGTTTTTTTTATATAAAATCTGTATGAAAAAGCAATGTTATTAATAAACAGTAATAGAGAAGTGATCAAAATATGGATAATGGGAATAATAATGATAATAAAATAATAGTAGTAATAACAATAATAATAGTGAACCTACTGTTATGTTGTTGCTGCTGAGTGGTTAATAGTAGTTTTCCCCGTCGCCAAATTGTTATGTACTCGTCGCTAAATTATTGTTATGTACTGGTCGAGAATTTAATAGTCCTGATGCAAGAAGGCGGAAATCAGAATACCACTAGGTTTGCGATGATACTTCTATTTTCCAAACACAAGGAGAATGCAAAAGTGGTATCACACCAAAGTAAGTAGACACAAGTGCGTCGGTGGCACAGTGGTTAGGACTCTCGCCGACCATGCACATGGTCCGGAGTTCGAGCCCACGCCGACGCACACCTGATATCTATGGTCGGCCTGCAAAATTTGAGCTACCGATATCCATGCTGAAAATTCCATGCTTGTACCAAAAATACGGTGTGGAATCAAGCTGTAATCAAAAAAAAAAGATTGTGAGAACGAAATATGTATATGACCGTCCAGACAAGTGTGTGAACAAATCAATAGACAGTCTTAACATGAATGGCTAATTATAATGGAGTGTCGATCCAAATATACATAGCAAATATAGCAGACATGTCAACAACCACCATATATGGATATATGTCACTAAGCAACGGACTGTCAACAAACACTCATATTATATTATATATAATATAAGGGGAATATACATTGTTAAGGAGACAGGTTCATCAAAGTAAAATGGTCACAGACTAAGTGAGCAACCAGAAAGAGAGATCACCATATATATATGGATACATATTACCTACATAATAAAAAGAAGCAAAATTATGGTATCTTGCTCATGTTTGATATACGTGTCGTCATTAATATTACTGTTATTATCATTATCACTATCACTACTATCATTATTTATTTTATTTTTACATTTCCCTACACACTTTCTGACTAATTTATCTATCAGAGTAATTATTACGTTTCAAAGCTTCTCTTAAACCTCTTCGAATGCCAAACAGTTTATTTCACTTTTAGGCAAAAATCTGATCTAAACAAACTGGTTAGCACTCACGAGGTGAGCAACATTGATGGCACTGAAATAGAAACCAAGTCAGAAATTAAATACCTAGACGTCATTCTATCTATCTGCTGATCTTTCCCGGTCGTGTCATATCTTGACGATTTCTAAGAAAATATTCCGTCTTACCTTCTACATCAAGAAGTTAAGACATTCTGGTGTAACCCAACCCTTACTCCTACAATTCGTTAACTCCCGTATTCTGCCTATTATTCTCTATTGTTCCCCCTTAGTCTTTCCTGGGCTATTGAAGAAAGACTATACCTTATTACGTAGGATGTTAAAGGTTGTCAGCAGGGTAAGCAGTTTGCCACTTAGCCAGCTTGTTAATATTCTGGTGGACAGGCACATGGACTCATGTGAAAAATGGGCAAAATCCATTTTATCTGACTCACAACACTCTCTACATTCACAACTCTCCCCATGTATCTCTTCAGGGAAAACAAGAAGCCTTTATAGATAACTATATGCTGGCACTAGCAAGTACAAAAACTCAACCATACCCTACCTACTTAGCTCGTGTTCTGTGCGATATAGGAAGCATTAGGCGTGAAACTTATAACTTATTAAGTAGTCAGTAGAACAACTGGATCTCGTCTTTCCAACTCATATCATTTATAGGTACAACGTTTTCTTTCTTTCTTTTCCTTTTCTCTCTCTCTCTTGTTTCTCTGTTATGTGCTGCTTTGATTGTTTCTTCTGCTTACGCCATTAAATATACCAGGACCTACTTTTCTAGCACCTTCAAACACTCTGTTTAATTTTGGCTTTTTTACCGACATGCTAATATGTTGTTGTCAAAACTAACTGAGATTACCCTTAATCTATGTAGAATTTTATTTTATTGTTAATTTACTAACTGGATGCAATACTGTAGTAAAATGCTGAGAATTCCATTCTGTATCACAAGTACTGTTTTGGAATAAAGCTATTATCATTATCATTATTATATGCCTCAATTCACTATATGATATACCTAATAAACAAACTAATATGGAATTACTTACTACTGTGGTGAGAGCAGGCCGTGAGAAAATATGAGCAAGGCTGATTCAACAACCAATCACAGCAAAGTTAACGTGGCAAATAGATTCGCAGATAGAGAACTCTATTTGTCGAGGAATCCCGAAACAACCAATCAGAAGCCTGCGTTTGCCTGCCTAACTTCTGATAAACAACCAATCAGACTGCGCTTGTCTACTTGCATAAGCTATAATAATGTATGTGAAATATGTATAAATACGTGTTGATTTTCATAATAAAATGTTCTGTTGCCTGGCCCTTGTCTTCTGTTGTTACACTACCACAGTGCCCAAGTTTTACGCATATATTAAAAAAATCCTTACAGCAATCAGATACTGGTAAACTTTATCCTCGAAAATGTATTACATAATGTTAGGTGTTAGAAGGGATGACTAATTGTGAGTTAGAAAAGAGGCAGAAGTAGGCATGACGTAATAAGTGTCAGGTAGCGACTAATCAATAAGCTCGTGTAGAATGGACATGAACTAGTAGAAAAGACGATATAAAATCAGTATGGAAGCGCAATGTTAATAACTAACAGAGGGATAATAAGATATGGATGATGGGAATAATAATGATAATAAAATAACAGTAATAATAATGGTAAACTTACATATAATAAAAAAGAAGCAAAGTTATAGTAAGAACGTTACTCTGGCCACGGTAGGACGAGTGAATGTATGTGGCGCTTTTGAATGCAGACTTCTGGTTTCAGATCCCGAATAGCTGCTAATGATTCAACTATGTACAGATGGTGTATGCGAAGTCCCTTTGCATAATATTGTGGGAGTCTGTGTAGCCCTGTGAAGCATTTCATGCTGGAGTGCTCGATGTTTTTTCTTGATATTTTACTAGACTATCTTTACTCATCATAATTTCATCTCCGCGTTTTTGTTTTTTCTCCTCCCCCCTCGTGAACTAGCCACATGTAAGAATTTGGAGTTCTGTTGATTTGAAGACATTGAAAATTATTGGTCTTGGTGAATTCGAACGTTCAGTGTGCTGTTTATCATTTTCAAAAACAGTAAGTTTAACATTTTTTTAAAAATTTTTATTTTCGTATCAGTTAAAGAAAACTTTTCTATGTAAAATAAATTATTTTCATATTTTTAACTTTTTTATTAATGAGGGTGAAAATATAGGGTGAAAACGAAATGAAATTAACCGATTTCTTTCCTCGGTGTTTCTTTCAATATTATTATTACTTCCTTTAATTCCTAGAGGAACATAGAGCTTCAGCTGCGCGTCTCCATTGCCTTCTGTTTTCTGCCAACTTTTTCATTCCGCTCCAAGTCTACCCACTTGCTTTCATCTCCCTTTCACATGACCTCCTCCAAGTCACCCTAGCACTGATGACCAACTCGCTGCTTCTTATGTGGGTTCCACTCGAGCAATGGCTTATCTAGTGATGTTACTTGATGTTTTCCTCAGCGTATGGTCAGTCCATCTCCATTTCTTCCTGCCTATTTGTTGAACAATCGGTTCCTGCTGGGTTGGTTCGCTCATTGTCAGAGATCCCTATTGCTGATCTTTTCTGGCCAGCCATCTGATCTTGAGTATTGAGCGAAGATAATAAATCTTCTAAAATGAGTAATAATAATAATAAAATAGGAATAATATTAATCAGAGGAATTTATCCACATTTACGGTATATAGTCGAAAATATTCAAAGTACAAAGTGAGCACACACACATAGCCTCAGTAGAGACACGAAATGCTAACAAACTGGAAGACATCAGAGATTTCCATGGGAAAGTAGCAGCACAACGAATTAAAACCAGGTGTAATCGATGCTTCGCATGTTCCAGCCCAAGAAAGCTGAACAAAAGAACCCCAGTGAGACGAAATAAAAACTAGGTCAGACAATCAGATGTCCCCCTTCTGTGCTATTGTGCTGATGTATTAGGAGCTACCGACAGATGTGCAATGTCCTCTGGATTCCTAGAAGTTGCGTGTTTAATGAATGGAGTGACCGCAGTTTCACGATTACACCTTGATTCCACAACGTATTTTTTGGTACAGGTATGGAATTTTCAGCATGTGATATCGGTAGCCCAAATTTTGCAGGCCGATCATAGATATCAGGTGAGCATCGGCTGGGGATCGAACCCTAGACCATGTGCATGGTTGGCGACAGTCCTAACCACTGTGCCATCGAGTTGATAAAAGTCAGTGTCATGAAGAAAATTCACTTTTTCGACGGAATCTTCTTCAGAGGCTGTACAGTCGTACTTATATTTACCAAAAATGTATAGTAGTCTATCACTGAGTAATAATAATTGATTTGATTCCTCAGAAGGGGCTTTGGTGGCTCAAGCGTCATAGTGTCAGCCCGTGTGTGTGTGTTGACACTTCAGACAATAAGCGTATGTGCGTTAAGGGGAGTAGACATGTTAAAATGCATCGTTCATACTTGGCATCGCCAAGTAACTTTTCCATAAAACACATACACCTGTGCGTCGGTGGCACAGTGGTTTGGACTCTCGCCAACCATGCACATGGTCCAGGGTTCGATCCCCTGCCGATGAACACCTGATATCTATGGTCGGCCTGCGAAATTTGGGCTACCGATATCCATGCTGAAAATTCCATGCTTGTACCAAAAATACGGTGTGGAATCAAGCTGTGATCAAAAATTTAAAAAATAAAAGACAACTCGCTAGGTTTTTCATGTTGTGCATTTTCAGCTGTCATATCTTGCTCAAAGGCATAAAGGATGATAGAGTGAATTGCTGCTGTGCAGTGCACACACGTGCGTAGCCAACCGGAGATCATGTCTACTTAGCCAAAGATGGCATAAATTTGATACATGCCATACGAGACTTCAGTACCCAAGCTGAGATTTCATCACCAATCACTCCCTCGGTTGGGGCTGATGCAAATTCTGCAATAAGAGCAGTATTACACCTATTCAAGCACTTCTCTCCTGCCTATCTTTAATATAGGACTAGTGGATGTAGTCCAGTGTTGTATAATTATCTTAAATCGCATGCTAAACCTGCCAAGATGATGTTTTCAACACAATCTGATGCTTAGGACTGTCTGTCTGGATTCAACATAGGACTTGCCACCGAAGTGCAGCATTTCCAGTTGCCACGTTCCAAATGGCACACAAAAGTAGACAAGAAGATGACTGAATAGAATCAATAGAGTTTGACAAGTATAAGAGTGAAACAGAATGGGTAATGGTAGAAAGGAATATGAAAGATTACAGAGACTGAATACATCTGCGCCAGCCATTGACAACGATTTTGAGCCATGTCACCTATTGTCTCCAGCCATTGATTCCTAGAGTCAGTCCCGAGGTCCCCAACCCGGAAGTCTGCATCTCCCTTCCTACCTGACCGACTCAGTTTAACTGTCAAGGATTTCATGGATTGATGAGGCCATGTTTTTGTTTGGCTGCCACTTACCCTTTTCCAACCAGCACTTATATCAGGTAGTAATGCCCGTCGGGGAGGCGATTGTTAGGCATGCGCAGCACCTCACCGACCTAGCCATCTCAATCTATGTAACTTTATAGCCTCGTCGATTGATTTTCCCTCTTCGCCCAACACACTACGCCTAACGTCAACATTACTTATCTTGTGAAACCACCTAACGTGAGAAAGAGATCTCAGACATCTATGATCGAAATCAGTCAACCTTTTCATGTCTTCAACGCGTATTGGCCATGTTTCAGAGTCATAGAGAAGGACGGAGCGAACTTCTGAGCAGTATACACGTACCTTGGTTGATAGCCAGCCGGATGTCAGGCCTACGCCAGAGATGGTGTAAGTCAGCGAAAGCAGCTCGAGCTTTTCGGATCCGTGGTGAGATTTCATCGCCAATCAGTCCGTTGGTGCTAATACAACTTCCCAAATAGGTGAAGTGGTCAACATGTTCTATCACTTCACTCCCTATCACTAAGCTAGGAGTTTACGTAGTCCAGTCGTGTAGCAGCATCTTACATTTTGCAGGGGTGAATCTCATGCCAAACATACGAAGATTGCTGCTCAAGGTGTTCAGAAGCTTAGGACTAATAATTCCAAGATTTCTGCTAGAGGTTTTAAGAAGACGCTGCATTTTTTTTAGCATATTCATCTTGGACAACTGTATCATCTGCAAATTTTAAGTCAACAAAAAACTATTCCCTGTTAAGGAGTTAATCCCTGAGTTTCTGGAGTAAGCTAGGGTATTTTCTCAGCATTCCACTTACGGTCAAACATTGCCATAGTATCTCTCGGTCAACGGAATGAAATACCTCTTTGAGGTTAAGATATATGCCGATCATTGGTCGTCGGTAAGTATGTCTATGCTCCAGAATCTGTCGAAGGTTTCGGTGATTTCATGCATTTATTCCCCTTGATGAACAACAGTGGTTTGTGCAGAATAATATGGTACCATCATCGTTGGCTTCTCATCAGCTGCTTACAGCCTAAATAAATTATGAAGTTTAAGTACAGAAACGTTTTAATATACTTATAAATTTTACATGTTGTCAGTTGACAGAAAGTTCCACAATTAGTGAACAGTGCTCAGAAAATTGCACTTATATAGTTTTTACACAGTCAGTTCAAGTTTAAACAAAATAAATGTATGCATACATTGGTTAATGGGTTACACAATAAAGACGAGAGTGATTAATAAATTAGGTAAGGATGTACTGAGTTCAACTCACGTCATAGAACCAAGAGACAAGCAAAATTACAGATTATAAAAAAAGGAGGGAAGAGGTTAAAGACAAAGATTACGTAATCAGATGAGGGAATAGAGACATCCAATTACCAGGTGGGCAAGGAAAGACTAATAACTGCTTCTTTCTGAACACATAAATCTGGTTTCAAGCGTTTGATAGAAATCGCTTCGGTTGGCAAACTTGAGGAGAATCGAGCTCCTTTGTCTATTGATGATTTTAAAGGATTTCTCGATTTCCACCTCATGACCCGTCTCGAGGAGATGTCTGGTAATAGCGCTACTATAAGAGTTTGTTCCCTTGAGACATAGGCTTTTCAGCTAAGCATGTTCAGAAAATTGGAGGTGTGCCCTTCTTTCTGTTCTCCCAATGTAACTGCTCCCGCAGATACACGTGAATTTGTATACACAGTTGGAGATGACATGAGAAGGGTATCTATCGACTTTTGTCTGCACCAAAGAGCATGTTGTTCGATGGACGGGAACCAACTTAGCTGCAGAATAGGCTCTGCAATATCTTCGCCTTTAAAATCTAGTTGAATGAAGACAGGCTTTTTTTCAACTGTGATTTGTTTCGGTGATTATATATTAGAACACTGGAAGTGACTCTTTGTAGTTAATTCAATTTCTGATTTAACCATTGATTGATTTTAACCGAAATGTTTGAACTCTTGAACGATGTCTGTGGATTGACCTGAAGTAATATAGTGGATGATGATTAGTAGTGGAATCGAGTATAGGTATTTCGCCCATTTGAGTCCCCTCAGGTGTATATACTCATGACACGGGTCGTTGAGTAGATAACGCTCTAGATTTCAAAGCGATGGATACTGCGTTCGCATATCAATGGAACACCATCACTCATTGGGGTGTATGCAAGTGCATCTAGGGGACAATTTACAGGTACGACGAAATATGCATCCAACATTCCATACTCTTCACCTCTTGAGTATACAAATAAATTCGTGCTCATCACCTTGATTACTAGTACTTACATCAATTCTCTTACATATTTCACCAAGAATATTATCGTTCCATAGATTTCGTAGGAAACAGTTTTTTTAACTTATCTTTACCACTTGGTTTCTTCCCATTTTTCAACAAGTCAGACAATCAATGAATACTGATCGGTAAGAAGTAGCTAGCTAGCTGGCTAAGTAACCAACCAACCAGCTGAAGTGATTACATTTCGGATATTTGGACTCAGTAAAAGCCCTATCCTCTATCGATTTTTAATATCTTCTTTTAAATCAATAAATAGTCAGCTGATAACATGAGAGAGAGAGAGAGAAAAAGAAAAGAACAAATACAGATTCACTAAAATTTATTAGATTAGACTAGAGTTGATTGAATATTCATTCGGAAATGAACCACATTTAACTTATCTTCATCATTACTTTTCTTGTCATTGGATGCGTCTACATGTATTGATTATTGAAGAGGAGTATTTTATTCTGCAATGACTGTATATACTACTGATTTATTGGTTGATATAAGTAGTTTGGGACTTCAAATGAACTGTCGTCAAGATCTGACGGAATAGTTCTAAAATATTTGGGCACCGAGTGAGAAGTAGACATTTGTAAAAATATTTGTAAAATCTCAGCGAGATTGAAATGAACAATTCCAACGTTTCGTTCGGCAATCTGGTCCGAACTTCTTCAGGAAATTAATCGAAATTAACATAACAAAGGTTTATATGTAAAAGGAACATCTCTTGTTTTTAAAAACTTTGTCATAAAACAAGTATCAACAAGTATAATAAACAAAATTGAATGAGTTGTGATCAAAATTTGACCTCGGACTTATAAATATTGGTCTACCATTGTTAAACACTCTAAACAGAGTGTGTATGTGCGTGGAAGTAGACAGTTGTAAAACATTTCTTAACGTCTCCATAAGAAGATATAGACAATCGGACCAAGTATTAATACTTAGTGATACATATCCATTTTTATTTATTAATCAGGATTTCCTATGCATCAGCTAACGACATCAGACCTTCATGTCTGTACAAACTGTTAGTATCTAGGATTTTATGATTAGACGTATTTTCAAAATTATGGTGTTTAGGCTAGAGTTTAGTTGAAGTACCCTGTCGAACTTATTGCTTTGTCTTCTTTCTGAAGATTGAGTTGCTTTATTCTACCTACTGAGTCGGCGACAGGGATCTTTGGGAGTGAGCCAACCCAGTGGGAACCGACTGTGCAACAAATATGCAAGAAGAAATTGAGGTGGATTAGCTTGGCCTACTCTGAGAAAACAAACCATCAAATGAGTGACATCACGCATCATGCCGTTGCTCAAGTAGAATCTGAATGGGAAGCGGCGAGTTGGTCGTCAGTGCGAGTGTGACATGGAGGAGGTAGTTTGAGGCTGGTTATTTATGATCTTAAGCAGATCATATGTAGTTGTGATCTGAATTTGAGTTTTCAAAGAAGAAAACTGTGGTGAACTACCAACTAGGATTGTGTGTAATTCATAAATGAAAAGTTTAACTTTAAGTATATTCCGTTTTCTCCTGGGTTCGAGTCCCGCCCTAACTAACTAATTCACTGTGAACAGCTCAGGAGTATCATTAACTCCGACACATGCAAAGTCTGTCTTTTAGCCCAGTATTGCGTAATTCAGATCTAACTAACTGTATATCGACTAGAACTCAAACAGCCGTGTCTGAATTTACGAAGAAATGTCATCTGAATTGATAACTACCAATGGTTTCCTCAGGAATGTCCACTGTCCTCATTTCTCTTTAATCACATTACAGATGAACTAACCCACTTAATCCTAATTGACTTCAGTGACTCAGGGATGATTTGTTACCAGAGAATAATCTCGTTGACTTATAACATGCAGATGATATGGTCCTCCTGAGTGTAGATGCCGACGGAATGCAGAGTCTTCTGAACACCTTGAGATGAGCAGAAATTTGCGAATGTTTGGCATGCGATTTGCTCCCACCAAATGTAACATGATGTTACAGGACTGGACTACACTGACTCTTAGCTTAGAGATAGGGAGTGAAGTGGTAGAGCGTGTTAACCACTTCATTGTTTGAGCGGGAAGTTGCATCAACCAATGCCAACAGGTTGATCGTTGACGAAACCTAATCACGGATACTGAAGGCTCGTTTAGCATATGCCAACTTATACCATCTGTGCTGTAGATGTGATATCCAGCCGGTAATCGATCAAAGGACGTTTGTACTGTACAGCAACAGCAGTTCTGTCTGTCCTCCTTCATGGCTGTCTATGAGACATGGCCATTGAAAGTGTAAGACATGAATAGCCTGGCTGGCTAGCTGTCTTTTATCAGTGGTGCCTGCATTGTGTCTATCGTGTTATGTGGTAGGTGTACTAGGGTGAGTAATATTGAAGTTAGTTAGGCTTTAGTCGATATAAGTATAAAACTTGGGCACTGTGGTAGAGTATAATTCCATTATAGATAAGATTTTTTATTTTGATAAATCGCACAGTGTTTACAGTCGGGTGTGTTAGGTAAAGAGGGAGGGGGGGGGAATCAATCGATAAAGTTGTGAAGTAACATCAATTGAGATGGTTAGGATATGTGCTACGCATGCATCCCTAGCCATCGGTCGCCTTCCTCCACTGACAATCAATGTTAGCTGACATAGCATCGTTTAGGTTGGAAAAGAGCTTGTGGTGGTCAAGTGAAAACATGGTTTAATCAGTTAATCAAATCTATAACAGTTAGTTTGGGTCAGCCAGTCATGTAGGGATGTGTATACTGCCTGTCTGTTTGGTTTTTGTCCTCGGGGTGTTAAGAAACAATAAAGGCTGGAGATAATCGGTGATATTTCTAGCTCAAAATTCTCGTTCTCAGTGATGGCTAGCGCAGATGCATTCACTCTTTATGACTACTTTTCATATCCAATAAAGCACTATTCTTTTTCCGCGTTACTGTTCTTTTCCCCTCTCGCACACTTGTGTTTATTATCTCTCTTTTGAATTGATATATATATATATATATATATATATATATATATATATATAATTATTATTTATTATTATATCCTTTAATTGCTAGAGGACCATAGGGATTCAGCTGCGCACCTCCATTGCCTTCTGTTTTCTGACAACTTTTTTACTCCGCTCCAGGTCTGTCCACATGCTTTCATCTCTTCCTCGCATGACCTCCTCCAAGTCACCCTTGCACTGACGACCAACTCGCCGCTTCCCTTTCGGGTTCCACTCGAGCAGTGGCTTGTCTAGTGGTGTCATTTGATGGTTGGTTTTCTCATCGTATGGTCAATCCATCTCCATTTCTTCCTGCCTATTTGTTGCGCAGTCGGTTCCTGCTGGGTTGGTTCGCTCATTGCCAGAGATACCGCCCCCGCTGATGATCTTTTCTAGCCAGCCATCTGATCTTAAGTAGTAGCGAGTGAAGACAGCTAGTTGTTAATGAAGGTCTGTAGTTTGTTTGAGGTGCTCTTTATGACGCGGCAAGTCTCTAATCCGTATAGTGAGTAGCACTGACTTCACATTGGAGTTGAAAATCCGGATCTTATTTTTGATGGTGAGTGCTGTTGACGTCCACAGAGACTTGAGATTAATGAAAGTTTGTCTTCCTTTCCCAATCCTCGCTGCTTTGATATCCTCGTCAGTTCCACCTGACTGTAGTTGAAACGATGCTTCCCATGTAAGTAAAGGAGGTTGTTTCTTTCAGGTTCCTCCCATTTATGCTGGCCGATTGTTGTCTCTTGTTGTTGTTGTTGCTGGTGTTGGCCCGGAATCTTCATCACCTCTTCATCATATATATATAATATATATATATATATACATGGATCAGAGACTTGGCGCCACGTCACGAATGCCATTTCGAACAAAATACACACCTTTATCAACAGGTGTCTTCGTTCAGTACTACTCAAGTTCAGATGAATGACCAGAAAAAATCAGCAGCAGGGGGGGTATCTCTGGCAATGAGCGAACCAACCCAGCAGGAACCGATTGTTGAACAAATAAGCAGGAAGAAATTGAGGTGGGTTAGCTTGGCTATACTCTGAGAAAACAATCCATCAAGTAACATCACACACCATGCCGTTGCTCGAGTAGAACCTGAATGGGAAGCAGCGAGTTGGTTGTCAGTGCTAGTGTGACATGGAGGAGGTGATGTGATGTGGAGATGAAAGCGTGTGGTCAGTTGTGGAGCCAGGTGAAAACATTGATGGAGAGCTGAGCGCGATGGAGACGTGCGGCTGAAGCCCTGTGTTCCTTTAGGAACTAAATGAGACTATAATAATAATAATAATAATATTTTCAAGTATTGGTTTTTGTAGGGATTTTGTTTGATTGCATGGAGGATTTAATCATAAGCTGACATCAGTTAGAGAACCACTGGAAAACCTGGGAGTACTGGACAGCAGTTTCGTCCTAGTTTGGGACTCCTCAGCAGTACGCACCCACCGGGATTCGAACCCAGGACCTTCTGGTTACAAGGCGAGCCCGTAGACCATTGAGCCACTGGGACCCGATCCAATGGTCCTTGAATTCTAATTTCTGCCAGTTCACGACATAGCGCGACCACTTCGCAATGTCTTCTTCGATGAGTTACTGCCTCATCTTCGACCTGCTGTACCCTACTGGTCACCGCTTCCCACTAGAAGTTAGAATTGAAGAACCATTGGGTCGGGTCCCAGTGGCTCAATGGTCTACGAGCTCGCCTTGTAGCCAGAAGGTCCTGGGTTCGAATCCCGGTGAGTGCGTACTGATGAGGAGTCCCAGACTAGGACGAAACTGCTGTCCAGTGCTCCCAGGTTTTCCAGTGGTTCTCTTACTGATGTCAGCTGATGATTATATCCTCCATAATAATATTTCCCTGCCAGGTGACGAGAAATTGCACCACTGAAGACTTTTACTCCTTTCAGTCACAAATTCCTTGAAACCTACTCGGATATACAGTGACACATCCTTCTTTCTTTTAGTCCTATGTATGTGCTTTTATCAAGTATATATGTCAATTTAATGTATATACAGTTGGAGATAACAATGAAGTGCGGATTTGTCAACGTTGGATTTTCTCAGTGAACAAATTTATACGATATTCTGCCTACTCTCGAACTTTCACGTTAGCCATACATCATGTTGGTCACTAATACAGATAGTCGCAAAGGATCTTCACTGGATGAACAATTAAGGAAACATTGTGGGGTAAATAGAGAACACGAGTATTGTATTTGATATTGATGGCATGTCTGTACAATTTTTAATTGCATTTTTTGAAATGTGTGTGTGTATAATTTGCGTTTATTATATTTATATGTTTTTTTTTTTATAGGATAATGGAGTTAAACTGTGTGCGGTTGACGAAGCTCAGGATCATGTGATCTCTTTATGGGAATGGCAAAAAGGTCGTAAAATTACAGAGACTAAGGTGAGAATTTTTTCGTATCAAATGTCTCTTGGTTATTATTAGCGACATTATTTTGTCTGTGAGTCAGAATGCTTTTTTTCCTGAACTTTTGAGAACTGTACTAGTCTGATTGTATTGCGTAACAGGATAAATACGATATTAACTCCCTGGATTACGATTTTCCACTTTTAGTACGCACATGTTGTTATTATTATTGTATTACTGTTCCCATGGGTTCCTAGTGGAACATAGAACTTCAACTGCACGTTTCCACTTGCTTCTGTCTTCCTTCTGCTGTATTTTTCACCTTCACCCATGTTAGTCCATACTGTTTCAACTCCTGTCTCTTCACACGATCTCCTCCATGTCACCCTAGCACTGACGACCCACTCGCTGCTTCCCTTTCGGCCTGGTTCCACTCGAGGAATGGCCTGACGCGCGGGCGATTTCACCCAGCGGCCTCCTCAGCGAGCGAGTGTCCAATCCATCTCCGCTTTCTATCTCATATTTGTTGGTTGGCGATTGGTTCTTGTTTTGTTTGTTTGTTCCCATAGTGATTCTTGTTGGTGATTCTTTCCGGCCCGGCCATCTGATCTTCAGCATAGAGTGGAGACAGTTGTTGATAAAGGTCTGCAACCTGTTGGAATATCCAAACTTTGTTGTTGATGCTGACTGAGTGACGAAGATTTCCAGATTGGTTTTCTGGTTAATGAATGTTTTCTCGCCTGCCTTCCCGATTCTCGCTCGATTTGACATCCTCGTACCCATATGATGCCCAAAATTTCTGTAATGTCTACAATAATGAATTGTGTCTTTATAGTTTTACGGTTACACTCATTCACTATGTCAGGTAAACTAGATTCTTGAACCCGATCAATTTTATTGTAAGCTGAATCACGTAGCTGAAACATGTTTTATTTATGTTTTCATATTTTATGAGTAGTTAGGTGAGGTTTAATGGTGGGAATATTCATCAACTGTACTTCACATGATCTGAGTTCGTCTCCTGGTCGATGCATTCCTAAACATTGCTTATTTTACCGGTTGATAGTAATCTCGGAGAGTAGGATAGGTCGGAAACTGTGAAAATAGCAACGCTGGAGGAGAGGAGGTTAAGGGGAAATGGATTCACTCATGAGAAAACGAACTCAAATTCCAAAGTGTCATTATCTCTGTTTTAATACACAAAATCTTAATGAATATTATCTCTCAAACACTTAGTTTAAATATGCACTTTTTTTCCCGCAATATTGAATTTTGTATTAGGAGCTGGATTGATTCATTTTCGACTTAAACACTCAACTATCAGCCAGTTAATTTCTTCTGGGTTCGAATACGGCTTCACTTCAGCCCCAGCTTTCACAAAACAGGTGTGAATTATAACCCGGTACATGAGAAATCTGTCTGAGAGTCTCCTAATTACGTTGATACAAAGTGTGACTCGCATCTTTTGGCAGACTTATCTTTCAAGAGTTGATTTGTGAGGATTAAATTTGTTTTTACGAGCTTGACCATGGATTGATATCCGCCAGAGAACCAGTGAAAACCAGCCACTGGAAGTACTGGATAGCCAGCTGTTTTATCCTAGTGCTTGGGAATCATTGACAGTACGCATGTGGTTTTCAATGATGGTTCTCTAACTGATATCAATCAATACGTGGTCAAACTCGTAAAAAAAACAAATTGAATCCTTACAAAACAACTCTTGAAAATTAATCTGATGCTCGCTAATGACTTGCTACAGGACTGAGTTTCCTGGAGCGTGAGTTCTAGTGAGAAGTCGTGACCAGTGAAGTCCATCCAGTCAAGTGTATGAGGATGGATGTGCCACCGATGACACATTGGTTGGTTGGTGGTCGCGCCAAAATCACGAATTGGTAGAAGTTAGAATTCATGCACTTGCCATTGAATCGGGTCGAATCCATGTGGCTGAATGGTATACGAGCCAGCTTGTCTTGTAACCGGAATGTTCTGGGTTCAAACCTTGGTTGGTGGAGGGTGAGTACTGCTGCTGGTTCCCAAACTCTTACTTACTTTTACTTTACTTCGGCTATCTCCTACGGGAGGATGAGCCGGCTTCATGAACAAGAGTTCATGAAGTTTCATGGGAATTGGGTACGAGTGATGTCCCCACCATCGCTCGGCCTTTTGTTTGAGAGTGCAGCTCTAGCCTTTACACAACCAAGTGTGACCTACAAGGCAGTAGGAGTGGAGTAGGGAGTCCACTATCCATTGCCAGCCGGTGACCGGAGTCCGGTTCATTCGCCTTTTTGAATGGGGCCAGTCATCCAGGGCATCCAATAAGCCCTTTGTCCATACGTCTGCCGGTGAGCTTCATACGCCAGTCGTTGGAGGTTTGGAATCAGGGTTTAGCCATCTCCCCTAGACTGTCATCCAATGGACAGTCAACCCGGTGAAGAGCGCCGGGCATCAGCTTTTGCCCTCTCACTTCGGTGAAAAAAAACACCTCCGCCACGTGAAGGCAGTGAGTAGGACTTCCTCAGGAGAGGCTATGTAAGACGCCCGGTCATATGGGAGCATTTCAAGAGGTGTACGGTAGGACGAAACAGCTGTCCAGTACACCCTTTGGTTGGTTTTCAGTTGTTCTCTAACTGACATCAATCCGTGGTTAAACTCTTAAGACTTATTTTTATCAAATCCTCTACCCTAGTGACGATGTAAGGAGAAGTCGTTAATTAGTATATGGCAGTCTAGTTATCACAATCATACTGATACTAATACTACCCAAGCAATGAAAAGAGGTCGTTTACCTATTACCTGTCATATTCTGTGATGGCGTTCCAGTGACTGTTTGTTGCTCAGATCTGTCGAGGATGGTGGGGTTGCATGCGACTTAACGGTTATGCGCAAGTTTCGAAAGGGGGCGGGGGTTGTATAGAATATACATGCTCCCCGTTCTGTGACAGTATTTAGTATCGTCAGTGTTTAATGGAAGAATGCTCACCAACCTCGTACGTGTTCCGGTTTCGACTCCCAGTTGATGTGCTCCTGAACACTGCTAAGTTTACTAGCTATTGGAAGATGGAAGTTTTATTGTGAGACTAGCAATGCCATTGCATAAAATCAATAATACTGCTAGTGAAAATTCAAGACTCAAGCTTGAAGCTCCTATGTTCCTCGCGCAACGCAATGAATCCGCTGGGGAGGGGGGGTGATACATTTGAGAAAGGGAGATTATTCGAAGACATCGAACCCTGAATTGTTCACGATAGTCTTCTTTAAATGACTGACTGACTGACTGGTTTCAACATAGAACTCTACACAAATGTGCACCAGTTCAACTTGTCACTCTCTTTGTAGCACACACAACAAGAGAACTGAGTAAAGACAGATAATAAACAGAATTGTGAGTGAGGGAAAAAGAACAGTCATATGGTGAAAGAACATTAAAGTTTTACTGGATATGAGAAGTAGTCAAGAAGAGTGAATGCATCCACGCCAAACACTGAAGTACGATGATTTTGAGCTAGCCATATCATCAATTGTCTCAAGCCTTCACTGGTTTTTACCACCATCCTAAAGACACAAACCATCCAACCAGTCTATTATACCTTCCAACGTCGCTGGTTGGCTGGCTGACTAGTCGGCTTAATATAACTCTTATGGATATGACTGATTGATGAAGTCATGTTGATTTTGATTTGACCGTCACCAGCTCACTCTTTTCCAACGTGATCGATCCTGTGTCAACTAATATTTTCTGTCCATCGAGGAAAGTGATGGTTAGGCTAGGCGTGCGTTACACATTTCCTAACCATCACAATCGATGTAGTGCCACAGGATCATGGATTGATTTTACCCCCTTATCTAACACTCGACTGACTCCTAACTTCAATATTACTCACTTCTACTACACCTATCACCTAACACGGGAGATAGAAGGCAGACACATGTAATGAAATTCAATTTTTGGTTTGTAGGGATTAGATTGGTTACAGGATTTCATCATGAGCTGACATTAGTTAGAGAACCATTGGAAAACCTGGGAGTATTGGATAGGTGTTCTCGTTGTTTTAGTTTGGAACTCTTCAGCAGTACCCACTCACCGGGATTCAAATCCAGGACCTACTGGTTACAAGGCGAGCTCGTATACCATTAAGGCACTGGGACGCGATTCACTGGCCCATAAATTCTAACTTCTGCCAATTCACGACCTCTAGTCAATGCCTTCGGTAAGTATTTATCCTCACAGCCGACCTTCTGTACCCTATTGGTCACAACTTCCCAACAGAACTCAGGTAACTACCTTCGTGAAAGACAGCTAGCCAGCCAGGCTTTTCATGTTTTCCATTTTCAGCTGTCAAATCTCGCTCACAACCGCTGTGCAGTACATACATTCTCTGATCGATAGCCGGCTGGATGTCTCACGTCTAGTTAGCCAGAAATGGCTTAATTCGGCAAATGCCAAACAGGTTAATCTTCTTTAATTCCCAGCAATTAAGATTTAGCTAAGCCTTTCTTAATATTGTTTCGTTAAAAACCCTGTTCAACTCATTTTATTTTAAAAGTTCAATGTTTAATCTAGAGCGTTTCAATTTAAATAAAGTTCATATTTCGATGCTGGTGAAAGGCTACTTATTTTGCGTGTTTTAAGAGCATACCTTAGGGTGAATCAATGCATGAATAGTATTCAAGTTCATATACTTTTTTTTTAAATCTGCTTATCGGGGCATAATTTTCCACTGTATCATAGAAATTAATTTTTAATATTTCGCGGTCGGTTGATAAATGCCAAGCAGGAAATACCATTTTAATTTATCGCTACACTGAGATACGCCTAATCGTTTTCTTCAGGCTTAATGATTTTATCCAGTAAAAAATTTTTGACCTACATATAAATCATATTGTTCTAACCAAAATTTATATCATTTTTATACATAAGTTTCTATGAAATGTTTGTTATAAAAATTTGGGAGTAGGATTGTTTAGTAGATTGAAAGTTCACAAGGCGGTGACGATCCGTATGGAAAAAAATAGCCCAGAACATATTATTATTGTTC